ACTAAACTGCTTAAGGTAGTTAAGACCAAAGCAGACTGTGAAGAACTTCAAAAAGATCTCAGCAAACTAAGTGATTGGGCAACAAAATGGCAAATGAAATTTAATGTGGATAAATGTAAAGTAATGCACATTGGAAAAAATAACTCCAACTATACATACAATAGGATGGGGACTAATTTAGCTACAACTTGTCAGGAAAGAGATCTTGGAGTCATTGTGGATACTTCTCTGAAGACGTCCACACAGTGTGCAGCGACAGTTAAAAAGGCAAACAGGATGTTAGAAATCATTAAAAAGGGGATAGAGAATAAGATGGAGAATATCTTATTGCTCTTATATAAATCTATGGGATGCCCACATCCTGAATATTGCCTACAGATGTGGTATCCTCAATCAAAAAATATATACTGGTATTAGAAAAGGTTCTGAGAAGGGCAACTAAAATGATTAGGGTTTTGGAACGGGTCCCATATGAGGAGAGATTAAAAAGACTAGGACTTTTCAGCTTGGAAAAGAGGAGAGTAAGCGGAAGCAGTGGGGGGCAGGAGGGCATGATAAAGGTCTATAAAAACATGAGTGGTGTGGAGAAAGTGAATAAGGAAAAGTTATTTACTTGTTCCTATAATATAAGAACTAGAGGCCATCAAATGAAACTAATGGGCAGCAGGTTTAAAACAAATAAAAGGAAGTTCTTCACACAGCACATAGTCAATTTATGGAACTCCTTGCCTGAGAAGGTTGTGAAGGCTAGGACTATACAAGGATTTAAAAGAGAACTAGATAAATTCATGGAGCAAAATCCATTAATGGCTATTAGCCAGTATGAGTAAGGAATGGTGTCCCTAGCGTTTGTCTATCAGAGGGTGGAGATGGATAGCAGTAGAGAGCTCACTTGATTATTACCTGTTCAATTCACTCCCTCTGGGATACCTGTCATTGGCCACTGTTGGCAGGCAGGATACTGGGCTGGATGGACCTTTGGTCTGACCCAGTAAGGCCATTCTTATGTTCTTATTTTCCTGTCCAGAACTTTAGCAAATAGCAGTGAAGACTATTTAAAGACTAATTAGTTTAGCTATTTCTATTAGGGATCAATTAATTCAATAATCATGTAACTGCACAAAATCTCAATGGTTACATGATTTTCTACAGTCCTTATAGTTGGGGTGGGCAGTTATTGCACACCCAGCCAAATTCCTGGGGAGCAACCTGCCACTCCATGCTGATACAAAGGCAGGAGTGTGGGGCTGCAGCAGTTTCTGTCCATGGGGGACCTAAGCTCCCCGCTGAGAAGAGATGGTTTCCAGCATCCCAAAGAGCAGACTCTTTCTGTGGCTGCCCCAGGCTTTCCATGGACAGACTGCCAAGGTTCCATGGCAGCAGCCCATAGACAGGGGCTGTTCCAGCATCCCATCTGCCTCCCCCCCCCGGCCCTGCTGCCCCTAGTACAGATGTTTAATATAGAAGCAGCAGTGTGGGGGGATGGAAGGGGAAAGGAAGCAGCTCCAAAGCTGGTGCTCATGGGGAGCTGTCTTTTAAGCTGGCTCCCGCCTGCCTCCTCCATATCTCTGCGGGAGGCAGAAAGGGGGTGGATGGACAGACTGCTCCACAGAGCCAGCACGCACGGAGAGCTGGCTTAAAAGCTGACTTCCCATGTGTACCAGCTCCTGCCTGCCCCCCTCACCCTCCATGCTGCTGCCTCTCCATTATAGGCAGCAGCCCCAC